CTATATATATATAGTTTTCGATATCTCATGTATTTCATATTTTCTTATTATTTGCCCCTTTTGTGGCTTCATGAGCTGTCATCATGGAATTTGTTTTTATCTTATAGTTCCAGTATAATTAGGGGTATTAAGGGATAGTACAGAAAAAAATGTTAACATTTGCAACTTTTTTTTTAAATAAAACAGTGGGAAATTACTTGAAAATTCCTATTAACTAAACACAAGTGTTTATAAAATAAATCTCGAAAATTACAAAGCTTTTAACAAATGCATGAATTTTTTTTTATTACCAATGGACTTGCACTTGGGCCGAATTACATACACATCGGTATGACAAAGCAGTGGCTTCCTTTACAAATAAACTGATAGCGGATCGTAAAATCAACAGTTAAAAGTACCAGTTGACAACACTTTTACTTCCTTTAATCAAAATCAATCATATTGATACTATTCAATATCTTAGTTCAACAGTATACATAAATTATTACAAAACGTAATCTAAAAAACCTTTATACATTTAAATGCTCCAGTATGTCACTTGCGTAATAGTGTGGTTCTGAGTGATCTTAATCTTTCCTTAGAATTGGATGTGATGAATACCGGAATAACAAATATTACCGACAAAACCGCGTACTATATTCTTTCCCTGTTCTACCTCCGAGTGCGGGAATGTTTCCTTAACATTAATGTAAATGTATAATCAAACATACAAGTGATTAACAATTCTATAGAAGGAACTGTGACTATCACAGGATATTCATACGCAAGCGATGTTACCTCTAAGCTGCGCTCATGCACAGCAATCTAGCAGATAGCCACGCTTAAAAAACAATAGGCTGGTCACAAATTTGTCAGCTATGGTAAGGTAAAGCATTCGGCACTTGACCAGTGGATGTTCCAGTTTCCCTCCCACATCTAATTATCAGGCATAGATCCCCATCACCCCTAAATAATGTCCGTAATACAGGTCCATAATACTATCTTTTTTTTCAAAAGATAGCAGGATTTAATTCGAACTGATCATCAACGAGTATGATGACTTTCGGGTTTATTCGGCTTTATTTTTTCTCAGATGGCAGTTCCGATGATATAAAAATCAAGGAAGTCAAGTATTACTTGCTTCAAATCATTGAAGAAGACCAAAAATGTGCTGGACAGAAAAGCAATGCTCAGAGGAATTTCTAGTCCGCCCTGTACAAAGAAAAATTAGAGAAAACATTGGACACAAAACGCCAAGAAGGATGATTAAAAATAATTCAATCTCTTCCACATACATAGAAATGTTAACGAAGAAATAAAAAAGCACCAGTGGTTCAACAACGCAGAATATTAATACTATTAAATACAAGTCCCAACTTGTACCTAATACCTTGAATAACAGAAGTTAACTGTTTTTTAAATTGCAACATATGTGGATAATATTCTGTATGATCGACCAAGAACAGAACACATTGTTATTCATGTACTGGTGGGAAAACGAGGTTTGTCTACAACTGAGGTCATGGTCTGTTAATTTTAGCAGATATGATTTTTTCTTCTTCTTGCAATTAATAACACACGCACATACACACAAAATAAATGACCTAATTCGAAGGAGAGAGCCTCAAACACACCATGTTGAAAAAGAAGGCAAAGATTGCACAACGAAATCCGCTCCATAGCTTCAATACGCGTTGTCGAATATACCGTGAGTGTACTCTTTCAGAAAATTACAAACATCACTAAGTTTTGCTTTTTTCCTGATAATAATAATCTTTATATCTTCCTTTTCACTATACGAAAATGTATAGTATTCTGTTCAAAGCGTAAAAGCTATTTTACAATTTACTATATTTCAATTTGAGGGTAGGCTGATAGAAATCCTGGTGAGTAATAAAAGGGTGGGGCGCGCGTATACCCAATTCGATTTTATTACTCATCACGATCTCTACCAGCTTACCCTCAAGTAGAAGTTATTTTAGGCAGGATTATAATAAATTAATTTATGAGGCCTTGGACGTGAGCAAATACACCAATCGAAAGTGTTTGACCTCCTGAGTCGAAAACTGTAATTAGATCTCAAATCGGTCAAGAGAAGTTTGTTTGTTTTGAATTTCGCGTAAAGCTACACGAGGGCTATCTACG